ACTCACCCTGTTTGCAGTTTTCTTCGTTGAGTTCTCAAAACATATGCCCGTTTTAGCAGCTATACAGTGGAAGCTTAATTATATGTTTTGCGTGGGAGGCTTCAAAAGTTTACGAAATACAGTAGACTACAAGATGTCTACTATGATTTTGTCAATCTCAAGATGAAAACATATGCATACATATTGATCTCCTCTAAAGGAAAAATCCTTCAAACGCAACTCCTTTATTAGCACACAGACAGAACCCATATTTGTTATCAGTATCATTGCTAGTCGATCGGTAGCAACAGCACGCCCACGTACGGGTTTGGATGATAGGACCGGGGCACGGCCGGCCAACAGGAAACCATTTGGTAGTTTGCAGATACTCTGACCTACATACTCCTAGATCGGTATAACAAAGCATATCCTCTGACCTATATTAGACCACGTGGTAGTTTGCAGATCCCCATCGCAAGCGGACAGGCGTTTACTTCGGCGGATCCGTGTAAGCATTTTCCTTCACATCTTAGTACTATTGATATAGAATGCCTCGTTGGCAGAAATTCATGATCACAAGCACTCATCTGCCTAATGAAGACGGAGAGGTCTTTACGGTAATGCCGATGGGATTTTATCGAGCATTTTCCTTCACGCCTTAATTTATTGTTTAAGCAAAGGTTGTTATCTACCATGGATCTCGCCGGATCAGCAACATCCACGGCCACGCGACGGACTCCCACGAAGATTAGGATGTGAGATACGAAACAATCCATGTCCGGGGAAAAGTAAGACGTCAGACAAGGACGTGTCCACAACCGTCGAAGATTAAGACTAGGATAATTTTGCTATGTTAAAAATATGTCATCTGCTTTTGTTTAATGAAATATATCAACCATTTCATGAATTTGATCTGGTTTAAATGAAAATCGTCCGGTTTGCATGAAATTTGTTCGCCTTTTTCGATTCACATTTGAAATACGCGCAGATGTTTCGGATGTATCCGACGGAGATGCCCCGGACGGATAGTGCCTCAGGGCACCGTGTTGAAGACACCCTTACTATATTTTCCTAATGCGTGCTCCGTGCATCCGCTCCCAAACAACTTATTACATGATACCAAACTTAAATACCCTTATCAAGAGAACATAACCAAGGCCATGTTTCTCTCCTTTATTGCCGAAAAAGGGTTCCCCGCTTTGTATACAAAGCAACCAACCGGGACATGCAGTTGGTAGGTGCTGGGGCGGAAGCAGCATAATCACACCCAAAAGAAATAAAAGAGAAAATATAAGAAAAAGAAATGCCGACAACGGCGGATCGACAAAAACGAAGAAGCCTCACGACCGGTGCGTCCATCGGAGATTGCCCACCAAGCTCCGAGACTCCGAAGCGTCGGTACCAATCAACACCTCCAAGAAAGGGACGCGACGATGACGACGATGCTGCCAAGCGTTTCCCCCGGTACGCGGCGAAGAGAGAAGAAGGGTAGTCCCGACGCCCTCCAGGAAGGTCCAGCGGCACCCTCAGGCGCCACCGCGTCGGTGTCGGCCAAGGCAACAGGGATTTCTCCCGATCCCAACCTCCACCTCAGGCACTCCGGATCTCTCCACCAAACCGACCACCACCCTGCGCCAACCCGGTCATGAAGCGCCCCACGCTGTCTCACCACGGCACCGCGAAGCATGGCCTGCACAATGAAGAAGAGGAGCCGGGACTAGGACCATCGACACGCGGGAGGGCCCCACCTCCACCGTCAACGACGGTAGCTGACCGAATGCAATAGCACGAACATACCAGGCTCGTGGCCGCACAGGTCGGGCTGGGCTCTCAGAAGCCCGTAAAGTTCCCGCCTTTGTGCGGCAGCCGGCACACCATCAGCGTCGCCCCCCCCCTGTCCAGGCCGCTCCCCTGCTTCCCCGTACACAAGGCGTACAGGCCGCGCCGGAGCCGGCCCGCTAGGACCCAGATGGGGCCCTACGGGCCTAGATATGGGCCGGGGTCGCAGCATCGGCCACCCAGCACCACCAGACCGCCCCGCCGCCAAGGGAGGTACCACCACTGCGCGCGCCGCAAGCCGCTGCCACCAGGACGCCGGACCGCCACCCGGAGTCGCGCCGCCATGAGCAGCCGCCGCCGCCACCGAAACCATTGTCGGCGGAGGAGCACCGTCGCGGGGCGCCAGCACCCGAGCCATGGCACCGCGTGCGGGAAAGGAAAGGCCGCCGCTGCCGCCAACGCCACGCGAGCAGGGCCCGGTGGCGCAGGCCGGCGGCGGCGGTAGCAGGGGAAGGGGTGGAGGCGCTGGGAGGCGGGGAGAGGGGCCCCCGGTCGCCTCGCTCGGGGAGGCGACGCGGGAGGCGGGCAGGGGGCGGGCCGTGAGGGGGAGAGGGAGGCGCGGCGCGCACCGCCGGCTGCCGGAGGCGCGAGGGGGGAAGGCGGCCGGTGGCGGCGGCGGGGGCGCGAGGAGGAGTTTCTCTCCTTTATTGATCTCTCTTTTCCCGTTTCTCTCTCTCTCTCTCTCATCAAGCTTCTCTCCATTGATAGCGCTTGAAACATAGCTAGCGATGACTTTTTGTCTTTATCATCAATTTTTTTTGTTAAATTTGTAACATCTTGGACAGAACACAAACATATGAAACAGGTCATGCATTTTATAACCTACAAAAAATGAACACTAGTATGGTTCAAATAGGTTTTTATTTTGGATTAGTTTAAATTGCTTACCACATATGTCATACAATGCATTGTTGTATAACCTACAGAAACCATGCATTGTATAATCTGTTACAGCAGACAACAGAACACTGAGTTGCAGAGCGATCTTGTAATTCGCTAACAGGATGCAATTGAAAAAAGAATCGCGACGAAATTCAATTTTGGATTAAATATTCACTTCTTGTTCACGCAAGCAGACCACCAGAGATGGAGTAATCATGGGATCGAATATGCTTTGGCATGAAGGCAGGAATTACAATTGCTTCATGCAAGCAGATCACGAGTACTACTAGCTAGCTAGGACACATCTTCAATGTTTGGAGAGCTTGAGTAATCCATGCATGGGATTGGCAGGGTTCAGAATATATCATGCAATTATAGTAGTTGAAAAAAAATTCACTGCACAAGCAGAGCTGCAGAGATAGCAGGAGTTGAGCAAGACATGACATGCATTGGGGAAACAATAGTCACTTTGCGCAAGCAAATCTCCGGTACTAGCTACAACAAAAATTAAACAGGAATAGTACAACACACTGGACAGAGAAACAACAATCTACTGGGTTGACCAGAAATTACCGACAAATAATATCAGGATAAAACATTCACTTCGTGGGCCAAATAAGATGTAGCAGCCCAACTTTCAAAAGTGTCCTGCTCCTAAGCTCAAATGACCTCGGTGAACTGTAAAATCGAAACAAAAATAAAAAAAATCTTTCTTTTTTGTGAAAAACATTGACAAAAGTTTCAAGTGCTTGCAAAAATTCATCATGGAATTACATTCCTGTAAGGCGTGACAAAAGAAAAATTCAGTGCCCCAAAATGCTTTTGAAAGTAGCATTTTCAGAGTATTGTTTCTTTTTTGGCACGCCTTCTAGGAATGTGATTCCATGACGAATTTTTGCAAGCGCTTGAAACTGCATCCAAAAGGCTGAGAAACTCTGCATCCCCCAACTTTCCAGCTCTGTCCGGCTTGCTAGCCCAAGTATACTCAGGGACTGTGAGCTCAGTTCTGTTAATTCGGCACAGCTCACACAGAACTCTTCATTTTCTTTTCAATAAAAACAAAGATGCATATTCCTCTGAAAAGACATCAAGAGCGAAAAACAGAAATACACTTTTACCAGGAAGAAATAATGGTAGTAGCATCACCAGTATGAGGCATGTTCCCTGACTGTATAGTTAATTTGTTTAACATTTGGGTCAGAGTTTACGCATCGCAAATGATACATGCAGCTTAATACTAGCTAGAAGATGCAAGCTCAAAGGAAAAAAGAAAAGAAAGAGTATGTCCTTCAACAAAATACAGAAGAAAATAACAAGATCATACTGAAAACCAAGCATAGTATGTGTTGAATCATACTCAAACATAAGAAGAAGACAAGATCCTTATCAGTTACATGGTGACAATTGACTGATAATGTTAATTAGTTTCAAACGAATAGTTTATAGAAGAAGAAGAAAAAACTAAGACGCATGAGCTACATGCCAAAATTAGTACTCACTCCGACCCGAATAAATTGACGCAGCATCTATACAACCTCCATACAATGTTGGATAGAGGCTGCATCAATCAATTCGGATCGGAGGGAGTACCAGAATGCCATTGGCGTTGAGCGACCTAGTATATTGTTTAGCTGAATGTAGTCAAGCAAAACACACAATCAATTGCATGGGATCATGGTAGTATATGCTATTCACTCATGCCAGCTCATCAAGAGTATTAGGGGAAAGAAAACACTTGATGCTGAATCAAAAGAATAGTCCAACACAGACAGACAGAGAGCGATTCATGGCATTAATCAGTGACACACACATCAGGATGTGTCATTCACTCGCCACATTTCAAATATTCACTGCAACTTTATACAAGCAGAACTGCAAAGACTGAGCAATCATGGTATTGCTGGTTGCAAGAAAATGGGGAGGACATAACATGCATTATGAGGAAACTATCGAATTCATCCAAGCAGATCAAGAGTAGTAGGTAACTATCCAGAACACCTTCGATCAAGAGTAGCTGAAGAAATTCAACAGAGCAATTCATGGGGTTGGTGATAAATGTCAGGTTAACTCATTCATCCACTTTGAAGCATGCAGTTCAAAGCTTTAAACACAAATTTGTTCCGAATCTTCTTCGACAGAGTGGAAGAGGAATCAAGTTGACCTTACCCCCATAATCTTTGACAAATTCTAAGAAACAACCACTAGGAAATTAGTGATAAAGGAGGCAGAACAGAACCACTAAGCCACCAGATACAGACAGTGAGATTTTACCGCAGAAATGGCTTCGAACAAAGGGATTCCTACTCTTCGAAGGCCCATGGACTCTCTTTACGCAGTTCCTCCTCCTCCTCCTCGGTGAAGTCGTTGGCGATGCCGAACATCTCGCGCATCTGCTCCACGCTGTACCCCTTGACATTGTCGGCGACCTTCTGGCAGGCAGCGTCGAGGAGCCCCTTGATGTGGAGGAAGTTGGCGGCCATCATGAGGTCGTAGAGGGCGTCCTGGCTGAGGCCGTCGACGAGCTTGCGGTCCCACTCCATCAGCGCCTCCTCGGATGCCTCGGAGTTGCTGCTGCTGCTGCCCTCATCGACGCGGCTGTTGGCAAAGGCGGCGTCGGCGTGCTTGTTGCAGTACTCGATCACCATGGCGAGGGCCCTGGCGTCCACGTTGGGTAGCGGGATGATGCCTCCGGCGCAACCCTCGTCGATCATGTCGGCGAGGAGCACGGACAGCCGTGCAGCCGCCTCCGACACCTTGAACAGCATCCCATCCGAGCTCATTAAGGTGATGATTTTTCCGCTGGCCCTGAAGAAAAATGTGTTGTTTTCGCCAGCAACCTGCTCTGTCTCCTCTGCCATCGCTCCCTTCTTCTCCGGCCGTTGACACTTGGTTCTCTTAAACCGTCGTCGCTCCCTTGCCCCATCCGCTGCCGCCGTCCCCTTCTCAGAAAATGTAAGTCCAGAGAACCATGTGCACATGTCTTCCCTCTCTATCTGGTGCATCTGCCCGCGGGTCTTGCAATTGACCATGTCCTCGACGGCGACCTTCTGGCAGGCAGCGTCGAGGAGCCCCTTGATGTGGAGGAACTGAGCGGCGATGACGACGTCGCAGAGGGCGTCCTGGCTGAGGCCATGGACGAGCTTGCGGTCCCACTCCTTCAGCGCCTCCTCGGATGCCTCGGGGTTGGCAGAGGCGGCGTCGGCGTGCTTATTGCAGTACTTGATCACCGTGGCGAGGGCCCTGGCGTCCACGTTGGGTATCTGGATGATGCCTCCGCCGCAGCCCTGGTCGATCATGTCGGCGAGGGGAACGGACAGCCGTGCCGCCTCCTCTGACACCGTGAACAGCATCCCATCCGAGCTCTCCAAGGTGATGACAGCACTGGCCTTGAAGAAAAAGATCTCTTTTTTGCCGGCCACCTCTTCCATCGCTCCCTTCTCCTCCGGCCTTTGTCCCTTCGTACTCCTAAACCGTCGTCGCTCCCTGCTTTCCCTCTCCGCCGCCGCCGTCCCCTTCTCAGATAATGCAATTTCAGAGAACCATGTGAACATCCCTTCCGTCTCCTCTGCTTCCGCCTTCTTCTTATGCCCCCTCTTCGCCGATGCCAACCGATTTTCTCCCTTTCGCTCGTGGCTCTCTCCTCCTCCTCCTCTTCCTCCCCATCTTCCTCATTCCCGGCCGTCGCTCCCTTCTCTTCCTTCTCCGCCGTCGACCCCTTCCCCTTGTCCGCGGCCGCGTCTCCCTTCTCCTCCTCCGTCGGTCCCGTCTTCCCCATCGCCCTGTACGCAGTCGCCGGACCCTTCTCTCCCACCGCCGCTCCCGCTCCCGCTCCCATCTCTTGCTTCTCCTCCGCCGCCATTGCTCTCGATGTGGGTTAGGTGGGGAACTGCCGGAAATGGCCGAGTGTGCGGTGTGCTTCTGGACAGAATCAGTGCGATGAATCCATTTCTTCTGCTGCAATGGGCCTACTTCTGGGCCGAACTGAAACAAGCTGGAGTTTTGGGCTGCTGGATTTAGTGGGCCCATTTGTAATATTATGCTTGAGCCAGTCTTTTTTTTTGAGTGGTGATTCATGAAGGAGATATAGCAACACAATTTTTTTTTCATCAACAGGCCACACGCAAAAGGAAGAAGAATAGAATTGAAAGGTTTCAGACGCCATCCGCGTCGTATTGTGAGGAAGCTCAACATTTGCACAATCATGCGGAAGAATTCTATAAAAAACTATACCATACAGAGGAAACGTTGGGGACGGACAAGGTTCTCTCTTGTGCACCACGAAAACTAACGCCATCAATGAATGCAATACTGAACGCTCCATATACAATAGAAGGGGTTAAAAATGCACTCATTTTAGATGTACCTAACAAAAGCACCTGGACCAGATGGATTTCTGGCCCATTTTTTCAACGTCATTCAGACGTGTGTGGAGAAGAAGTGACAAGGGTTGTGTTGAATATTTTTAATGGATTTGAGGGCTTACGACACAAATTGTCTGCTCCCGAGCTCAAATGCTCCCTAATTGAATAGTAAAATCAAAATAAATAGTGAAAAAATAGAAACCTGGTTTTTTGTTGAAAACTTGACAAATATTTTGTGTGCTTTCAAAAGTTTATCATGAAATGCCATCCGTGAAGTCGTGGCAAAACAAACAAAATTGATGCTCCAAAATGCTATTTTTGAAAGCATTTTGGGGTGCTGATTTTTTTTGCCTTGACTTCCACAGATTGTTCTGTTTTTAACAGATTACATTTTTTGTTGCATTGTTTGCTTGTTTTGATGAAACTATGGATTGTTTCGGTGGGTATAAGCCATGGAAAAGTTAGAATACAGTAGGTATAATGCAATATTAAAATATGAATGAGTTTATAACAGTACCTAAAGTGGTGATTTGCTTTGTTATACTAATGGATCTTACAAATGTTTTATTGAGTTTTTGTGCTAAAGTTTTGAAATTTTGAGTGAGATCATGGTGGATGAAGGAATAAGAAGTGGCAAGGGCCTAAGCTTGAGCTAGACAGTTGCTCTAGTGCTTCACTTGTATTTTTTAGAGCACGGGGTGGTTTTATTTTAGAGAAATAGTTGCACTCTCATGCTTCATTTATATCTTTTTGAGAGTTGATAATAACAATGGAAATTAGTACAAGTTATAAATTTGGTCCTAATATGATAGGTATTCAAGAGGGATATAATAAAAACTTTCATGTAGATCACTGAATATGATAAGTTTGATTCTTTGCAATAGTTTTACGATATAAAGATGGTGATACGTGGGTTGTGCTGGTGAGTAATTGTGGTTTAACAAGAATATTGATGTTAAGGTTTGTGATTCCCGAAGAATGCACATATACTCTCTCGTTATGCTAAGAAGTTGGAGCATGATTTATTATTGATTGTCTTATGAGTGCGCTCGGGATGAGCGATGGTCTTTTCTACCAATCTATCACCCTAGGGGCATGCGTAGTAATACTTTGCTTTGAGGGCTTATAAACTTTTACAATAAATATGTGAGTTCTTTATAGAGTTAATTACATCTACAGTATAAAAACTTGCAGTGAACTAACAAAATCATACACAAACTTAAAACCCCCAGAAAATGGTACACTAACTTATCTAACAGCATGTTTTGATACAATTTTCATTAATCGTAACGGTGCACCGTTGTCGCTGTTAACAGCGTCTACGTGACCAATTTGCTCAAACCACAGACTAATTAACCTACCAAGCACTCGCTGACCACCACACCAATCTACCTTTCACGTCAAAAAGAGGCAGACCTGTTTATATACTCGAAGTATCGGAAACGTGCTCGCTTTTTTTTTCTGTTTTCGTTTTTCTATTTGTTCTTTTTTGCTTGGTGTTTTTCTTTTATCTTTTTTCAGATCTTGGGTATTCTTCGGTTTTTGCCTTTTTATTTTACATATTTCTCTTTATATACCTTTTGCAATATAAGGTGAACTTTTCTTCAATACAGACGACTTTTTTTTTAATATGTGGTGCACATTTTTTTTCAAATACACACTACTATTATTGTATAAATACACACGGAACATTCTGAATATATGATGAATAATTAGTTATACACATTGACCATTTTTAATATCCCATTGCCCGCATTTACATCGCACGCACGGGCGGCCCTGCCTGGTAGCCACCCCGCCGAGTGGTCGTCGTGGACCTTCGAGTCCACACATTCACTCCCGACGACACTTGCCTCCTCGGAAGTCGACACACTCAACAAACTCTAACCCCGCCGCCTCCTCTCCCCCACCCCACTGCTGGCACCATGGGTTCGCACTGGATCCCCCGATCGCAAGGGAAAGCACGGGGCGAGGTCGGATCATCTTCCGGCCGCCGCAGCCACTCCACCCCACCTCAAAACCCGTCGCGGGAGCGCTCGGCCAGCCGTGCGCGCGCTCGCAGCCTGTGCCAGCCACACGGGCGTCCGCGTGTTCGCGGCCTGACGCCCACCCCTTCCCCCTCACCGTCCCCACCACCAGTCAACCACCACCTCGATGACCGACGAGGAGGAGGCAGAGCTCATGAGGCGGGTGCTAGAGGACTCCATCCGCACCCACGACGAGGCCCAATGGGAGGGCCTCGAACATATGATGGCCCTCTCCGCAGCCGGTGACATCGCCATCCCAGAGCTCGACCCCGTGCTCAAGGAGGAGGCCATGGAAAACGTGCAGGAGGACCACTGTAGCCAGTCCTGGTCGTGGACGAAGACGATGTCGTGCACGCTAGAGTACCTGTCCATGCAGCCCATGTGGGTGGGCGCTAACATGTGGCCGCCATCGCCACCACGGCCAGAGGTTGTGCACGCACCACCGCAGCCACCTCCGGCCTGGCAGGGGTTGCCAGCCCACCTCTGGTAGCCACCACCGTCCATAAACCTCACCGGGGATGATGACGAGGAGGACAGCGACGACATCGAGGACAACCACGACGATGGCGCAATCAAGTCTTTTTAAGTTTTTTTTAATTTTAAGTTAAGTTTAATGTGCCGACGGGACTTGTTTAAAGGTTTAAAGATTATGGTACTGTTTAATTAAGTGTGTTCGTATGACAAAATGCGATGGACGGCTGGTTGGGTGCCCTAGTAGGTGGAGGGACAAAACCGGACACGGTCATCCGTTCTCCTGACCCAAACGAAAATCGGGACATCCGTTTGAGGTCGACGGTTGGAGTTGGCCTAAGGGTCTGATATCTCGTGAATGAATTACATCGTGTATTCTTTTTTTGCGGAAGAATTCTTGTATTACTCAATCAAAACACATGTACAGTCACGCTTAACATCATCCAAAATGACCTCCGGTCCAGACCCAAGCCATACAGTAGTTCGGCCTTGAGTCCTCCCAAAATTTGCCAAAACATGACTAGAATTATTACAACTTCGTCAAATATGAGTAATACAAGAACTACGTTCGGTCATACTATCTTTATCTTCAAGATGGGGCAGACTGGACCTGTATTTGTCTAGTACACCATATACTGCAAAAAGGTATATAAAAAAGAATTGTGCAAAAAACTGAAGAATCCCAAGATCTGAAAAGATAAAAGACACATACAAAAACGAAAACAGTCAAAAAAGGCCAGCACTTGTCTGAAGCTAGAGTACACAAAGATGTATACCCTTTTCCTGCAAATGACGAATGGGGTGGTGCATTGGTCGGCGAGCACTCCGTATTTTCTTCTGTCCCTGGTTCAA